CGTTAATGCTGAACTTCGTGGTGGTGTTGGTGCTGATGACCTTGCAGTTGGTGATGATGTTGTATATGGTTATACTGGTCAGTATGATGATTATCGCTGTGTACCTGATGTTGTTGCTGGTTCGTTCATCAGTGAAGATGCACGTAATTTCGCGTTTATGCGTGACTTTAGTAAACTTCATGACCAGATTAGGCCGCAAGACCTTGTAGTTAAGCAGTACAAGCCAACTTCGTTTGATGACTCTTTGACTAATCCGTTCTATACTGATTCTTTGAATTCAGATAGATTTTGGTTCTGTGTTGATTGGACTATTCACGCAAGTCTTCCTATCCTTTCAAGTGAAGATTCACTTGACATTGACGGAAGCGGTTCTACTGCAATGGTTAAGAATGGCGATTCTGGAATGTAATTGTTCACCGAAAGCCGCGTAATTGCGGCTTTCATTATTATTATTACTATGGCAAAATTTGAATATAAAAAAGGTCAGCCTATACGCAATATGTGGCGTGGTATGGGCAACGCTTATGCTTGGATGTTCGGTAAGGCAGAAGACGCGTTCAACTCTTATACTGGAGTAACTGCACAGCGTGAAGCAAACGAAATGAATTATAAAATAATGCAAGAACAAAACGCTTTTAATGCTTCTGAAGCACAAAAGACGCGTGATTGGAACTCTATTGGCGAACAAATGGCTCGTGCTCGTGCTGCTGGTCTTAATCCCGTTGCTGAGGCTATGGCTAATAATGGTATGAATATGACTTCTGGAGACCCTGCTCAAGCGTCTGCATCTATGCCCCCTACTATGCTTCCTGAGACTAATCAGGCTGCTTCACTTCTCGAAGCCTCTGGAAGTTTCGCTTTGAATGGTATGCAGGCTATTACAGAATCTAATGCTCGTAAGGCAAAAATAGAGTTAATTAATTCACAGATTGCAGAAAATCTTGAGAATGCTAAAAACTTAGGTTTTTCTTCTGCTACAATGCAAAAAGGTCTTGAGTGGTACGATGTAGAGAAGATGTCTGAAGTTCAGCAAAGACGTGCTGACACTAAAGTTAAGTTATCTGAAAAGGCTAAGATTGACCGCGAATTAAAGGAAATGGTTGATTCATGGGACGAACGCCTTACTTCTATTATTATGGACAATAATCTCAAGTGGCATCAGTCTGCGGAGATTGAACAACTTATACAGAAGTATGCGTCTGAAATTGACCTCAATGATGCTTCAATACAGAATCTTCATCACCAGAATGAAAATCTTGATGCTCGTACGCAAGAGTCACGTTCTCAGACTGAATTGAATCAAGCCGCAACTGAACAAACTAAAGAATCTACTGTTGGTATTCATGCTGATAATGCCGAAAAGATTGCACGTTCTCAGATTGCTGAAGAATTGACAAATCTCTATTATGACTCTATGCAAGCCGCCTATGACCTTACAAGAGCAAATACTAAACTCACTGAAAAAGAGGCACGTTGGTATGCCGCTTCACAGATTTCTGAAATATTTAAAAATCTTGGAGTAGGTATTGGTGCTGCATCTGGTGGTGTTGGACAGATTGCTAAGATGGCTACTCCTATCGGAAAAATCGGATTCTGATTCTAATATGTTGAAAGTCAGGGCTTTATGTTCTGGCTTTCTTTTTTAGTCGAACTTGTGAGACCTACTACTTGAACTCTTTATTACAATTGAGCCAATATTGCTCAACCCCCTTAGGGACATAAAATTTCAGTATGAGGTAATTTATTCCGAAAAATTTTTGTTGTATTAAAATATACTTCATATATTTGCCCCCATGAAAGTGGCTAATAAAACACATTACTACTCACCTTACACTCGCGTCTATAATGAAGTGCCTGATGTTGATTCGTTTGCAAATGAATCTGCAAAGCGTGTGTCATATCAACAGCGTCTTTTCTTTGAAATGGAAGATACTAAACGCTGTAAAGGTCAGGCTTTCTTTTATACGTTTACCTATAATAATACGGCTATGCCTACCTATATGGGTTATCCATGCTTTAACTATGACCATGTACGTTTGATTACTAATGGTATAATCAAACATGAGTTATCTCGTAAGTATGGTTCTCAACTTAGATATTTTTGTTCTTGTGAAACTGGTGAGGGAAAAGGTGTTCGCGGTCTTGGCAATAATCCGCATTATCATTTTATTTTCTTCGTATCTCCTAAGAGAGACGAAAACAATGAGCCTATTTATGATGGTTATAAAAAAATCTCTTCTATTGCTTTTAAAGAACTTTGCCGCCGCGTTTGGCAATATAAATTAGATTCTAATAATAAGCCGTATTTCTGCGATTGGAAAGATGCGCGTTTTGGACATTGCCAGCCTGGTGATAACTTCGGACTTGTTCAATCTGCTGATGCTTTCGGTTATGTTGCTAAGTATGTTACTAAATCAGGAATTGATATTGTGCGTGATTCTGCTGTTTGTCTTAAGATAGAACAAGATATAAAAGCAGAAGGATACTCCTTTGATGCCCTGTATAACTTTAGGCTTTATGAAGCATTTAATAATGCGTCTGGTTCTACTGCTCCACATTATTCTGGTCCTGATTCAATGCCTTTGTATAAGTACTTTCTTGATTCAGACTCACGTGCTGAGTTTATGGAAGATTCTGGACTTAATAAATATTGGAAGTTCCGTTCTGAACGAAAGCCCCTTGTTAAACTTGGAATGTTGCCTGATATCTCCTTTTCTGAGTATTGTCGTCAATACGCTCCTATGGAAAAATCGTTCTGGAAACGTTTTACGCGTTTTTATTACTTCTCTTATCTTCCTGATGTTACGAAACATGCCTTTGCTGAATATAAAAATACCTATGGTAATAAGGTAAGATGTTCTAAATCTCTTGGCTTGTATGGTCTTAAACATGTACGTACATTTAATGATAATGTTCAAGTTGTTTTACATACTTCTTCTCAAGTTTTGACGCAATCTCCATGTCTTTATTACATTCGTAAATTGTTCTACGATGCTACCGAATGCCCTTATACACACAATGTGTTATATACTCTTAATGATTCTGGAGTAAACTATAAAGTAAATCATTTACATAAGTCTGCTATCCAAATGTGTAACACACTCAAAGAGTCATTTAGTTTTTGTCTGAATGAAATCAACGCACAAAATATGCATATCCGTGATATGCTTTCTTTGCACCCTGCTATTATGGATTCTTTGAAGATGGTTACTCAGATGACAGATTTGAATGATTTACTTTATAAGTATTCTATCTATAGTCTTGTGTATAAGTATAGACACTATGATGATACTCTTAATTTCCGTCTTAATGAAAATTCTACAATAGAAGATTTTAAGTATGATTATAGAACTTTTCTTTTGAATGTTCCTCGATTCGGTGAACATACTTTACTTCTTGAACTCAGGAACGGAAATTATACCTCGTTTCGTTCTCACCCTTATTTTGCATCTTATGTAAATCTATTTGATATCATTGATATTGCCTTTGAAGCGTACCAGTTTTGGAATTCCGACTATCATAAAGCGAAGTTCAATACAAAAGCAAATGCTAAGCGCAAAGTTGCAAAAATGAAGATGAATGCTATCTTTGGTTTTGAAATGTCCCAACAAATTAATCCAAATTATGCTTCACAATTTTTAACTTTAGGTTTAACAGATATTAACTAAATATATTGTGTCATGTATTCTGTTGTCCGTATCTTTGTAGTTGAAATAACCAACAAAAAACAAATAATATGAGGATTCATGACCGCTTTATTTCTGCTACTGGTGTTGAAGTCACGCTTACCTCGTGGCTAACACCTTATGGACGTTCTTACTTTCAAATTGAAATTCTTAATCCTGACGAAATGTTCGGAGATATAGAACATTTACTTTCCTATGATAACGCTTTAGATACCTTTTTTGACATCGTTGAACATTTAAGGTAAAAAAATCTTAAATTTTTATTGCTTGGTTTCATTTATTTGTTTACTTTTGTCCGTTGTTTATATGGACTAAAGTAATGAGAACGTTTTTAATGCTACTTACAACTTTATTTATGACTTCTTGTTTGCGAAAATCGGAAGTCATTCCCTTTTTAGTTCCTATTGATTCTGTTGTAATTGACTTTGAGTTCTCTTTTCCTGCGATTGATAGTATTCATCTTCGCCAGAGCGAAGATAAACCACCTTTTGTAGTTGCCTTAAGGTCGCGAAGAATCTTTGATTCTGAGTCGCTAAACCACCTTTCACATTCTGCATCGTGTTATAAATGTGCCCCTGCTGTTAGCACTCCACACTCTATTATTGAGCGACGGAACACGGAGTGTTACCGCCATGAAATTATGCGATATAGTCTTTTAACTTTAGTTAGTAACCTTTCATTTTACACGTCAGGTTTTATTTAGTTTGTTTGTTATCTCTTAGTTTTTCGTTTTTTATTGTTTTATATATCCCCTATTAACGAAAGTGGCTTGCTCCTTTCGTTGTTGGTTTTCTTTCGGTTTTTATATTATGAACGATTTTGAATTTAATCTACATGTTAGGCTTTCTAAGCCTTTCCCCCTTGAGATAAATATTTCAGGTAATAGCCCTGATGCTTTGCTTGATTGTGCAACAACTTTAATAAATAAATCAAATGAATAAAAAATTTCTTGGCTTATTTAAAAAGCCTATCCCGTATGAGTCGGACGGACACCGAATTAAGACTCATCTGTTTGCCAATGTTAAAAAAGAAGACGGCACTATGGAATGTGTTGAGTATTCTGCTGAGGATATTCCTGAAGAACCTGTCTGTTATAATGATGTAAATTTACAGCATCTTTATGATAATGGAATAGACCCTCACGGAATCCGTGTCCAGCCCGATACTCGTTTGGGCGGTGACTCCGAGTTTGAAACTCTTGCCAATTTGGCGCGTGAACATGCTACTGAATTGTTTACAAAATAAATTCTCTATATTATGAAACTTAACGTAAAGACCGCAGAAGGCGGTCACAATAATTTTACATTTTCTCCAATGTCTATTGTTTCTATGGACTTTGGACGTGTTCAGCCAATTCAGTGTCTTGAAACTATTGCTGGCGGACATTATTCTGCAAATGGAAATTCCTTGGTTCGTGTTGCTCCTCAGGTTTTTCCTCCTTTTGGCAGGTGTTCAATTAAAAATGCTACATTCTTTGTCCCTTTTAACAAAATTGCTTTGGCCGCTGATTCTTTTCTGACCGATAACAATTCAATGAATGGTTTACTTAATATTATGCCATATTTTGAAAGTTGGCAGATTAATGCTGTCTTTGCTAATGGACAGCGTGGCTTTGAATTGGCAAATCAGGTTGGTACTTCTGAAAATCCACCTCTTTCGCCATATGATTTTGTTCATCCTATTGCTACAAATCTGTATGGCTATTTTAAATTAACACCACGTGGTGAAAAGGCTTTTGCTATTCTTAAGTCATTAGGTTATGACTTCCGTAATTATAATACTACTGTATTTGGTTCTACTACTCAAATGTGTCAGTCACATATGTATCGTGTTAATGCAATGCCGTTGCTTGCATATCTTAAAGTGTATTATGATTACTTCATGAGCGGAGTTTATCAGAATAATTCTGAACTTGGTAAATTCCTCATGGCTGTTTATGCTGGAAATTCATACCAGTCTGGTGCAAATAATGTTTATTTTTCTGGTGACCATAGACTTATGGCTATTAATCTTAATGGAACTGAAATCTATCCTTTCTGGATTAATTTGTTCCGTGATACTCT